GATGGCTCTCTTCGATAAAAATAATTTTTTAAATATCTATTTTGTTTATTAAATTAAAATAATTTTATGGAATATGCAAAAAAGGCACATGTCAAAAAAAACTTTTTGTGAAATTAAAAAAAAACTGTTTTTTGAGCTGAAGTTGTAATTCACTATATTGTCTTACTTAAATTATGGCAAAAAGTAAATACTGATCATTTTACTGTATAATTAGTTTTCGACATGTATTTTCAACATATACAGGACATTTTAAAATATGTGACATATGACCTTTATGCAAAACAGAAACAAATTAAATTAATTACTATTTAAATAGGAATAAGCCACAAGGTTAAAGTAAGTTTATTGACGTTTCAATTTCCACTTCGGAAATCGTTCTCAAAATATACTCCGCCAAATAAGTATCGCATCACTTATAAAATTACACAAATTTCTGACAGCATTTGGTTAATTTAAATTATTTCTTTCTGGCCCTTAAGAATATTAAGGCTAGAATAAATATTAAAAAGAAATTTGTAAATACAGCTTACTGTTTAAGAAAAAAAATGTTAATTGCTATTTTGTCTGGTTTTTATATTATCAGTCTTTATTTTACTTTTGTAAAAAGTATACAGTTTGCGTTTAATTTAAAATTTCGTATTAAATATTGAGTATGGAAGGTCGTGACAATATAAATTTAAATTTAACGAGAGATCAAGTGGTTAGAATAATTTCCCTCATTGAAGACGGAAGGAGTCAGAGATATGTGGCAAATTTAGTGGGTGTAAATCAGTCGACAGTATCACGAGTGGTAGTAAGGTACCGAGAGACTGGTCTTTATGAAAGACGAGCTGTAACAGGTCGGCCAAGAGCAACTACGCATGTGGACAATAGATTTTTAGTCCTTCAGGCTTTGCGTCGAAGACATGTGACTGCAAGTCAACTTCAACATGACTTAGCCGAGACTCGAAATGTACGTGTGTCTTCAGAAACTGTTAGGCACATCTTAAGACAGTCTGGAATTAGGGCCAGAGTAGCTGCCACTGCCCGAGACTTACAAGGGAACACCGTATAGCACGTCTAACATTTGCAAGAGAGCACGTAAACTGGAATATCGACGACTGGGGTAACATACTCTTTACGGATGAGTCAAGATTTTGTTTATACACTTCGGATCGAAGAATACCAGTTTATAGACGAGATGGCGAGCGTTATTTTCAATGCAACCTAAGACCGGCGACAAACTTTGGAGGAGGATCTATTATGCTCTGGGGCGGAATATCTCTTAGGGGTCAAACCGAATTGGTACAGCTAGATGGAGGATCCTTAACTGCTGATAGGTACATTAGAGAAATTTTGGAGATGCATGTTGTTCCTTACGCCCCATTTTTTGGTAATGACTTTGTTTTAATGGTAAATTTACAAGTTTTAAATTTGTGCCAGTGCACAGCCCGGACTTAAATCCAATAGAACATGTTTGGGACCATCTTTACAGAAGGGTGAGATCTGGTAATGTGACGCCAGCTAATCTTCAAGACCTGCAACGGTTGTTAACCAGTAGAATGGAATAATATCGATCAAGATTATCTAAGAAGATTAATTGGAAGTATGCCACAACGTTGTCTAGATGTTATAAGAGCTAGAAGAGGCAATACGTCTTACTAAATTATCATTACTTTTGATTTTTATTTTTTTTAATTCAATGCTGTTTGTGCGCTTACTTCTAATTTATGAAATAAATTAAATAAAACCTTTGTTTTTCGTACATTCTGCATTTTACTTTTAATACTTTTTACGCACTTAAAAAACAAAAAAAAAACACACAAAAAAAATCCATGTTTTAAATTATTTTTAATACAAAATTTGCAGTTTCATAGGTGATGCGATACTTTTTTGGCGGAGTGTACAAACATTCATAAATTAAACAAATTTTTTTGTTACTTGGTGAAAATTCTTTTAATAATTTAATTTTATCTGACTCATCTATATTGACAATTCAGACATACATTATACATTTTAAAGTAGATGACTTTAAAATGATAGTGCCAATTATTGTTGAGTTGCGTTCCTGGGACGACTTTACTTGTAAGATAGTTCATTCGATTACATGAAATCAACTTTAACTTAAGAATATCCATCAGAAAAAATCATAGCATATAATTCGTCTTTAAAAAGACAAACGCATGCCATGATGACAGTAAAATTCTCCTGTTAGTGATTCCATAGTAAATTATGGGGGAAAAACCAGGAAAAAAACCTCATAATACTATCCCGACATGGTAAGTATTTGGTCGTGCATTTATTTTACTTTCAATAAACACCAAATTCTGATTTTATATGTTTTTGTCTTTTTAGAAAACATAAATGATGTATACTCTATATGTTACTGACTTACTAATACTGGTATTTTTCTTTTAATAACTTCCTCTTTTATTATAGATTCTACCACGTTCTGCCGAGGAAATTGCGACACAATTGGTCTCATTTAGCATAATTAGAACCCCTTCTTTGGTTTTTCTCCTTTTACCATCCGTTTCTTTTAGGACTATATTTGAATCATTCCATTGAACTCTATGTTTATTATCCCATGCGTGTTTACATATTTAAGATCTATCAAACTTTCTATTTTTAATATAAGATTGATGTTCATTTATTTTAACATTTAATGGCCTTGATGTTTCACCTAAATAAAACTACTTCCTGAGATAATAATCCTTCCTGCAGACAAAGGTAATACCACAGTCATCCTGGATACTCTTTCCTACATAGAGAAAGTAAACGACTTACTTAGGATACATCCTGTTATAATACAATTTCTCGAGACCCCACTCCTAGAATCGAACGCGAAATTTCCCATGCCATCAAACAATCCGATCTTTTCCGATGATGTTAAGAAGTCCATAGTTTCCGAAAAACTCCATCTGCCCCAGAATTTACGGTCTTCCCAAAATCCATAAAGACAACGTACCTCTTCGTCCCATTGTGACTACGATTAACTCTCCTACCTACAAACCGCAAAGTACTTGTCGAATCAGTTTAAGACCTATACTGGTCATACCTCTTCTTATGTCCGAAATTCCACACATTTCATCACCTTAATCTCCTCCCTCACGGTCGATCCCCAAGACATTCTCGTCAGTTTCGATGTATCATCCCTATTTACCAATATCCCTATACATGACTCTCTAGTTGTTCTGCGAGATCACTTGACCAATGATAACAAGTCTTTGGTTTTGGCAGATCTTGCGGAAAAATGCCTCCTTTCAACATATTTTTCTTTTAGAGGCAATTTCTACAAACAAATATCTGGAACACCAATGGATTCTCCCTTTTCCCCTGTCATTGCTGACATTTTCATGGAAGCCTTTGAGTCTTTAGCCCTAGAATCTTACCCTTAAAACCAAAAGTCTGGTTCCGCTACGTTGATGATACATTTATCATCTGGCCCCATGGTCAACATACCCTTTCTCCCTTCCTAGATCATCTTAACTCACAACATCCGAGTATAAAATTCACAATGGAAGTAGAAAATAATCGGTCCCTTCCCTTTCTCGATGTGTTAGTCACCTCCAAGCCCAATGGCCGATTGGGTCACTCTGTTTATAGAAAAAAGACTCACACGAATCGTTACCTACATGCTTCATCACACCACCATCCTGCCCAAAAGAATTCTGTGATCAACTCTCTCATCCATCGGGCCATTTCGATTTCTGAACCCGACAACCTTAGAGAAGAACTTGGCCATCTGCAAAAAACCCTTGTCGCCAACGGTTACTCCAAGTCCACAATTCAAAATATTACACACCGACATCTACATCCCCCTTTACACCCTAGGACGACAAATTCAGAATCTTCGGGTAATACTCCTGTGGCTTTTCTTCCGTATATTCGAAATGTCACTGATAGGATTGGCAAAATTCTTCGCAAAGAAGGTATCAGGACTACTTTTCGACCACCCAAGAAAATCTCACAATATCTACCCTCTCCTAAGGACCCATTACCGCCCCTATCTTCCTGTGGTGTCTATTCTATTCCTTGTTCATGTGGACATGTGTATATTGGCGAAACTGGTCGTTCCGTCAAAACTCGGATTCAAGAGCATCAAAGATGCATTCGATCAGGTCTTTTCTCCCATTCTGCAGTTGCAGAACACTGCCAAGAAACCGGTCATTCCATATTGTTCGAAAAAACCCATATTATTTCTAAGAGCCCCTTCTTTTATTCCAGGAAAATCCGCGAATCTCTAGAGATCCGAAAAAATCCACATAATATCAATCGAGAGGAAGGATACTACTTGTCTCCCATCTGGAATCTCAGTCTAGAGCCGCCGTCCGGTCCCGCTACCACGATGCAGCCACATGATTGGCCAGCGCGCGCTTCTTGACGTTCGCGCCACGGAGTGTGCCGATACGTCCCGACACGACAGGTCACCGCGACTATAAATAGAGCGTAGCGGAGTAATCGTCGGATTCACTCCCCGCCTCTCGACGCGTTAGTGTTCTGAGCTGTTGGACGTGAATCCCTGTCCTGGCATTTGGTTTTCACCTCTGGCTGCGTTGAGTAGTTGAGTTACTGTGACCAAATGCCCATCTTGGTAGTTAGTATTCGCCTCTGGTTGCGTTGAGTAACTGAGTTACCGTTGCTAACTACCCATCTTCCTGTCTTGTTTTTTTTCTTTTTCTTTGTTCTCCTGAAGAAGCTACATACAATTGTAGCGAAACGTCGAGATGAACCCACTTTTGGGTCACTCACAAATGACACGGTCCAAACCCGGAAGACGAATAAACTATAAATAAAACTGATCGCATTCACAAGATATCTTATAAATACAATTCTTTGTCCTTTCTTGTTCATTGATAGGACAAAATAAATCTCAATGTTCTGTTTGTTGTTTTGAATATTGTTGAAATGTTGAATTCCCTGTAATTCCAAGGGAAGCAAGACCTTGCACCTTGTTTTTTTTAAGTATGGCATTTTTTTGTACGTTGGTATATATAGGAGAATGTATAAAAATAAAATATAAATGCAACAAATATATCTATTTAATATCTACATGATTGTGTAAATGGCATTACCTTAAAACTAATATAGGTATAAAAATCATCCACAGCCCCATTCTTGAAAAATAAAACTTAAAGTATTGGGATATGGTACTTATATGCACAATAAATATTGTATTGATATAAATATATTGAATATCACGATTGCGTTTTTATGATATGAACATATAATTGTATGATCAAAACAATCAAAACAATTTATAAATAAATAGTAACAAAAATCACTGTAATTTTTACGTTTAATATTATTGAAACAAAATTTTTACTAATCTATTATGGAACTTTATCAAATTCTGTAAAAATTAATGTAAAATAATTATTTAAACAGTTTCAGTTATCAATAATTTTATTTGTCACTTTTTAGCACAAAGTTTAGAGCAAATTTATTGATTTTTATTTCAAAAAACTTGTTTTATATTTAGTTAATAATTAATGCTTTGACAGCTCGACCTGTCTGACATCTGTATGCAATTTTGAATATTTATCACAAGTGATTTTATATAATATATCGAAACTATGGTTTCTATCTATCTATCTAACTATGAACAAATTATTCAGTTTTGAGTTATTTTTATACCTTTTTTCCTAAGGAAATTTGCTAGAACTGAAAACTGTTCAAAAGTTGTTTTAATTAATTAAATATCTTTTGAAATAATTGAAAAACTACATCGAAAGAATATACTAGATAGAAATTCAGAAATAATTAAAAACAAAAAGAAAATCAAAGAAATGAAAATAGCAATTTATAATTATAGAGCAGTACAGTCGTGAGTTTGTAGAAGCCAACTAAAAGTGAATCAAAACGTGTTTTATAAACTAGCTCTAATGTATTACTTTTAATATTATAAGCAGACATATAATACTCTATTGGTTACAGTGTAAAGTAACGAACAAAGAAATATATTTTCTTACGCGCCGCTAATCATCCAATCCACTATTTCCGAGAATCCATGATTGATACGTGATTTTGTCTACTTTTGACTAGTTGGGAGGCGTGACTTTGGATGATTAATTTCATTATTTGTTCACTTCTGACGATCCTGAACACTTAAAAATTGACAACTGTAATATGAACTTTCATGCCTCATTGTAAGTTTCATGAGAAAGAGAGAGGGTGAGAAAGAGACAGAGAGCAAGCGTATGTTCAGTCATTAAAGTGCACCAAAGAAGTATGCGCACAATATTAGTTGTAATATAGTTCCAAAATCTCATTAATTAAAGTAAAACAGAGCACCCTAACTAGTAAAATGACATAATACGTAGTTAGTAAGCAACGAAGATGTAGATCAAGCAATAAAATAAAGAAAGGTAGAGGTGTTGTACCATATGAGTCCTGGAGAAGTATGGACAGTGTTTGGAAAAACGTGAACGACTGTGGTGAATGAAGAGTAAAGATAAAGAAAAAGTTAATAAGTCATAGAATAGGAAAATACTAGATATTAGAAGATAGCAAAGCAATTATAATCATATTGTTATTAACATGCATTCAGCGTGGCCCGTGTCACGGTTGTATCTCGAAGCAACATCTCGGGCTTCGAATTTGTCAAATAACGGACTAAAGGTAAGACTACCCCAGAAGATTCGAGAATAATACTTTTTGGTATTATATATGTAACGATGTTAATGAGTTAGTTTAGTTGATAAGATAGTACCGAAACTGTAAAGTTATAAATGAAATATATATTATATAAATTCGAACCGCTCGTTTTATTTATGCTCCGCTACAGTTGGTGTTACGTGTGCGATAAAAAAAATAAATTCAGCAGTGACTTTGGAAAAAGACTTTTGAACTTTTGAAAAGTATTGTTCGTCGGGAACATTCGCGTAGTTCGGTAGTGATCTTTGTACGAAAGAAACATTTAAAAAGTACGTGTGTGCCTGACCTAAGATGCTGCTAATAGAACTTTTAGTAAATAGTTGCGTGAGCAACTAAAAGAACGCGATGAAGACTGCAGCGGGTCCAAAAAGATAGATACTTCAAGAACGACTTTGCCCCGTGAGACGAACCACCGTCATTAATGATCAAAGGTAGCCCTCAACAGCTACAAGACGCTCAAGCAGATGATCCATGTATAAAAAGAGTATTGGATTGGATGCGTCGAAGTAAAGACCTCTTGGCAAGACCTTATTGCATGTAGTCCGAAGTCAAGTGGTTACTGGAGCCAATGGAATTGCCTAGTGCTAAAAGAGTGATTCTCCTGTTTGTGAATGATGATGGTACAGAATCTAAGCTTCAGTTGATTGTACCTAAAAGTAAAGTCTCAGAAGTATTGCGTCAGTTGCATGATGGTGCACTAGATGGACACTAGTTCTATTGGTGAAACTGTAAAGATGATTTAAGAAGATGGTGCCGGAAATGTGAACTGTGGTAACCAGTAATGGTCCAGTTGGTAAAAAGAGGGCACCCATGTAACAGTACAATGTTGGTAGTCCTATGGAAAAGTAGCAATCGACATTGCAGGTCCATTTCCAGTAGACGAATGATGGAAATAAATATATCCTGGTAGCCATGGATTATTTTACGAAAATTTTACGTTATAAACATGCATTCAGCGTGGCCCGTATAACGGTTGCATCTCGAAGCAGCATCTCGGGCTTCGAGAACCTTCGCGATTGTAGGAGCGCCATTTTGTCAAACAACGAACTAAAGGTGGGACTAACCCCAGAAGATTTGAGAATAATACTTTTTTGGTATATATATGTAACGATGTTATGAGTTAGTTTAGTTGATAAGATAGTACCGAACTGTAAAGTTATAAATAATAATATTTATATAAATTCGAACCGCTCGTTTTATTTAATCTCGCTACAATATCTTAACCACTACATAGTTTTGGATATCGTGAATATAATATATTAAAGTATGTCATAGTTGAGGATCAGTTTAAGTGATTTTAGGGACATTTCAAAAATATATTTCTTTTTATATTAAAATTTTGAACCAAATATATAAATAGGTAGTTTGTGCAAATAATATGTTTTGCACATTTCGTAGGACTCTAACTAAATTTATTCGTTAATAAAAATATTGCTTCAATAACGCATTGTAAAGGTGCACAACGACTGAAACAACTAACTTACGCCATTACGTTCATTTTTCACCGTAATGAACATAAAAATAATTTTTCTTATAAAAAAATAAATTACTTTATGCACTATGTACAATTCAAATGGACTTTCCAAACAATTGCCATTATATAGCGTGATAGTTTCGTAAGTAAATAACCTGCGCAATATTTTAAAAATATAAACAATGTCAGATTAGACTAGAATTTTTTTGAGCATTACGAGGTTTGAATTATTATATTTAACCATATCTAGAGGCAGCGATGGTTCATTTTTCTTTGCCTGTGTATGCCATACCAAGATCTGAAACAAAAACTCGATTAGTAAATACTCAACAAAGTGATTTTCAAATAAATTTTGTTGTAATACTTTGATACGTAGTAAAACAATCACTGTTACATAGAATTTGAAGAAAATGCCAAAGTATCAGCGGAAGCAAGCTGGATTTGGAAGTAATAGATCCTTAGGATGCGGAGGTTGGAGCGGAGTCAATGAAGAATGTAGAGCAGCGGCAGCAGTGGGTATACTAATCAAAAATAAATGGAAGAACAGGGTTAGAACATGGGAGCCAATCAACGAGAGAATCATTAAAATGCATATAGACATATATCAAAGAAGCCCTGAAGAAAATGAAAAATAATCGAACCCCGGGTGAAGATGGAATATTATCAGAAGCACTAAAAATTGGAGGGGATGTATTACTTGAAAAAATTAAACAACTTTTCAATATCTGCCTTCACAGCGCCAATATTCAACAGACTGGAACAACGCTACTATGATTCTATTACCAAGGCAGGAGACAAAGCAAATTTAGAGAATTACAGACCGATTAGCCTCCTCAGCCATATATATATATATATATTATATATATATCTATATGGCTGAGGAGGCTAATCGGTCTGTAATTCTCTAAATTTGCTTTGTCTCCTGCTTTGTGTAATAGAATCATAGTAGCGTTGTTCCAGTCTGTTGGAATATTGGCGCTGTGAAGGCAGATATTGAAAAGTTGTTTACGCGAATACTAGTTAAGAGAATGGAAAGAAAATTAGAGACTTATCAACCAAGGGAACAGGCAGGATTCCGAAAAAGTTACGGAACAAATGACCATCTACAAAGTATAAAAACCCTAATAGAGAAAGCCGTGGAATACAATAAACCTCTAGTTCTAATATTATCGATTTTCACAAAACCTTTGACACAGTTGAGCTAAGCAAAATATTACAAGCGCTTAAAGAATGCAGGCTAGATTATAGATATACTAAATTATTATACAAAATATACCTGCAGGCAACAACCACTGTCAAATTACATACTAACAGTAATCGCATAAAATAGAACGGGGGTTAGACAAGGAGACCCAATGTCACCTAAACTTTTTAATACGGTGCTAGAACATGCTTTTAAGAATTTGGATTGGATGACAAAGGGAATAAAAATAGATGGAGAATATCTAAACAACTTACGTTTCGCCGATGATATACTTATAATAGCTGAAGATCTAGGTATGGCAAGAGAGATGGTACAGGAACTCGTTGTGGCTACAGAAAATGTAGGTTTGAATATAAATATCTCGAAGACAAAAATCATGACCAATTTGGTGCCCAACCAGAACATCAGTATTGGTGGGAAAGAAATAGAACTCGTAGATAAATATAAATACCTGGGACATGAAATTATGATGGCAGAGATAACCAAACTCATGAACTGAAGAGAAGAGTCGGCCTTGGTGGGCAGCATTTGGAAAACTGAGAGAAACTTTTAAAAGTGAGCTGCCCACATGCCTAAAGAGAAAGGTATTTGATCAGTGCGTCCTCCCAGTCTTGACGTACGGAGCAGAGACACTTACCTTAACAAAAGCAGCAGCTACCAAACTGAGAGTCACGCAGAGAAGAATGGAGCGTCCATGTTAGGAATAACTCTCCGAGACAGAATAACAAACAAAATCAGGAGAAGAACCGAGTGACTGACATCATCGAGAAGATAGCCAGACTAAAATGGAGATGGGCAGGACACATAGCCAGAATGACAGATGGGCGATGGACAAAGAGGTTATTGGAATGGAGGCCAAGGGAAGACAAGAGAAGCGTCGGTCGACCACCTACAAGATGGACTGACGATTTAAGAAAACTCAATAAAAACTGGATAAGAGCGGCGCAAGATAGACGGGGTTGGAAACATGAGGAGGCCCTATGTTTAGCCGTGGACTCTTGAGGCTGGATGATGATAGACATATACGGTGAAGAGACAGTGGTACTCGGAGTATATGCACAACAGATGATTCCCTGAGAGCAGAAAAAGAACATTTTACGGAACAACTTCAACATTACATAGAACTAATTAAGAAGAACGTGGAGATACTTATAACAGATAAAGATCAAAGATGTGCGAGTCAGAAGAGGAGCAGAATGTGGAACGGGCCATAAACTACTGACAGCAAAAATGGGCATTAATTGGAGAAATAACAAGATCCCCTCTACAAAAGAACCGTTTAACCCTATAAAAAACAGTACAATATAGATCTATTCAAGAGCAATCAACAAGAGAAACTATACCAACAACGCCTAGTCCAAACATTAATAGAATTTAGATACGGCAACATCCGAAGAAACATACGAGCATATAAAGGCGAGTATAAAACAAGCAGCATTCGAAGCCCTTGGAGAAAAAGAACATTATAACAAATAAACAGCACTATTATGAAACAAATGAACCAACAAAAAGAATAATTGAAGAAAAAAGCATGTATTCATGCATTCACACCACCTCTCATGCATTCCGAGCGACATTTTACGCGAAAACGGTTTTTTATTTGTCTTTTTTATGCATATTGCCACGAAGCGCATTTCGTAAAACTTTAATGAAAGGATACGGGTACAGCGGAGCAATGACAATGCTGATCTCTTCTTACTTGAGCAACCGCAGTTTTCAGAGTCCCGATAAGACAAGTTCTGTCCGAACTCGGGAACCCGGAAGCTGGAGTACCACAGGGAGCAGTACTGTCACCTTCTGCTATACACGATATACACAGTAACATACCTAGAACACCAGGTACATTATTAAGTCTCTATGCCGACGACACAGCGATAGCGGCCAAACACAGAAATGTAGACATAGCAGTCACCAACCTAGAGACAGCGTTAGAAGCAATCAAAAGCGAAGCAAAATACCTCGGGGTAATAATGGACAAAGGACTAACCTTTAATAAACACGTAGAAGCTACGGTACAAAAAGCCAACATGGCTTTTGCATAGCAGGAAGGAAAAGCAAACTTCGTATAAAAACCAAAATAAGACTTATAAACAGTATAGTCCTTCCTATACTGACCTACGCGTCACTTGCATGGGGACATATTTGTAACACAACCAAAAAGAAAATACAGGCACAACACAACAAAAGCCTAAGAGAAGCGGTAACGTACCAAGATACGTAGCTAAAGATTCCTTTTCAGAGAATTACAACAATCAGAGTGACTGACACTATGAAAGAAAAGCTAGGAAAAAGTTCGCAGAACTAGAGAACCACCCCAGTTACATTCTACGAGAGATAATGAGGTATGACGCTTTCCACAGATGGAAGCACAAAAGACCAAAACAACAAATAGTAGACTAAAATAAAATCAGAGAGAGAAATAAAAACCCCCCAGATGGACAGAATTCAACAAAAAGCCCAGAGTGAGAAGAAACTTCAAATCATACCACACACACAAGGAAGACAGTTCGTAGCTCAAATCACCCAGAATATCGCTTATCGCCTCATACCACAGTGGCCCAGCAGCTCAACTAGGATACAGTCCTGTATTGTGGTATCGTATAATATTTATATATTTTCTTTATTATAATATAGATTGTACACTAATTATGATTTTTGTCCCACAGGTCACCTACAAAAAAATTACAAAAACACAAAAAACCGGCTTCGGCCACCAACAAAATTAACAAAAACCCCAAAACCCGGGCACTTAGGGCCCAACCCCCTTGAGCACCAAATCGCCGAACTGAGCCGGGACTCAGAGCGGAGACTTGAGGCCCAAGTAAGCAATTCTAGTTCGCGGATAAGCCACATTAAGATAAACAGGAATAAAGCGGAGATGCGCTGTCCTGAGTTTTTTGCCTTCGGTTAGGAAACCATGTTGGGGTTCTATTACCCAGGACCTCCACATGAAGAGCACTTGGCTGATTGTTGTGCCTCTATAGCGAATCAGATTGCTATAGGGGGGAAAGGGATGGTCTAGAGCATTGGAGCACGGTGGAGTGACTCCTGTTTTACTCGAGTTAACACACCTTGCTCCAATGAATTGTTACACCCGATCGTACTACCTGGGTGAACATTTCTCATAGGCTGGGTTCAATCAAATTGCTTGCTACGTAAAACTTTTCATATTAAAAGTACTTGACAAGACGAGGGTAATTTGTTTAAAAACGAGCCCTCTATCATTTATGGTTACACGGCAAATGTATGCTAACTTTGACCTTCAATATCTTAGCAACCAGTAAGCCGAATGTATCTTTTTTATTAAAGAAGCGTCTTTTATATTCTTTAAGTGTATAAATTTTGAAATTGATATATTTAAAGCTCGTAAAGTTATTCAATTTGTTTATAAACCTAAAAAACTGTTTTAAAACTTTAAAAAAAATTTTCTAGGCTCTCCTAGTGAACCGATTTGAATTTTACAAAAAGAGTTTGAAATGTTTGAGCCCTTCCTTTATATGTAAAAAATTTTGCAACTATCTGAGGGCCTTATTTAGGGCCTACTATAAATTTGAAAATTTGCGATTTTTTTCCAGTAGACTGGATTGCAACATTATTATGCAAAACCTATCTGGCCGATGTTAACAAAATTTTAGCACACGTTTTAAACATATTAAAAAGTTTTTCTAGCCGGAATATGGAGCTTGTAAGTCAAGTTTAGAAAGTCGAAAACATTTAAAGCATTAACTTCATTTTTTGTACTTTTTTTCCAATTATTGCTATTTTTTCAACAATAAACATTAAATTTTCAATTGCTAGTCTAACGAAATATTGTGTAAAATTGAATACCGAAACTTTAACTTCTTATAATTTTTTTCTCTAGAATCAATATTTTCGAATTATAAATGAAAATAGGAGCAAAAAAAAATGAGAAATTTTCAATTGTTTTCAGATTTTGTTAAATAAAAAATTTAGCACACGGTTTGCGACTGGCGCATATCGTGATTATCGATATTGGGCATATCCTGAAGGGATTCCAGCAAAAAAAATAGCTTCTATAGAAAATGTCCATTATGGTCTGAATTTCTACAGATCCCGCCCAGTCTATTTACTGTTTAGTCTACTGGAGGATTTATTAATTTGTTTTGTAAGTGAAATCGATATGGACAGATTCCCCTTCATTATTTTTCATGTTTCATTTATTATTCCAAGTGCTTATTTTGTTTACTGCTTTTTGGAGATGTCTAGTTGTTTTTTCGAATATTTCACTGACTGTTAGGATTGGAAGTGTCGTTTACAAATGTGGCCAGTTTACCATTTTCTGTGGACAGGTATGTCACAGGTATACAATATGGGTCGCAAAAACATTGGCCTGTTTGTCATTGTAATTCAGCAAAAATAGAATAAATAGAGGCTACTAGGTGTAAAATGACAAAAATCTGACTTACCTTTGTACAATTAGACGCAAGTAACTCAACGTCAGCAGGCTCGAAGGGAGACAGACTTTTTAAAAATCCGTCCTCTTCAAATCCAGGCTTGAAAGGCATAGTAGCTTTAGGGCGTTTATATAGAAACTCTACAGAAACGGCAAAACCAGCCATATCTACAGCAAATTTCCTACCACCTATCCATCCGTCGTAAAAACCAGTAAAAACTCCGTGTTTAACAATAGGAGAACTTACTCCCTGCTTTCGTTATTAAGCCAACAGGAAACATAGAAACTCTTTTTGTATATCGTATCTAAAATAAAAATATAATCATTGACATACCATTACTCCTATCATATAACTTAATATACAGGATGTCCCACTAACGTTAACCACCAGCTATATTTTGGAACAAGGACAAATCAAGTACTGGTAAAAAAATCGGAGCTGAAGTTAACCTGGAGAAATTTATAGAAATTGTATTATTTATATTGTTTACTCTATACACCATGCTCCTAACAGTCGTCGTATATTCGAAGCCTTTTCTATAAATGTATAGTTTCTATACATATCTATATCTTTTTTTCCTGTTACTCTATCTGTTGTAATTCCCAAGGTACAGCCGGTGATTAATGTTTTTGGGACACACTGCATATAAATATCATAGGTATTAACGTTTCCCCATTTTTGTAGTATAACTTTATTTGGTCTATAGCATTAATATCAATCGTGTAAATATCAATTATAAAATACAAGCTCACGGGACATTTTTAGGAGGTCATTTGACCCAACATTAGTGACATATAAATCAATACTACAATATGTAATAGCAAAGCATGAGGCTCAAATTAAGGGTTGTTCCTTAGATTTCTCACCTCAGTCCTAGCCGAAATGTACGGCGTTGCAAAATAAATTAATCTATATACCAATCTAACAGATACGAGGTATACTGTATCCAGAAATTTAGTGTCTCATTATAAAAGTTATTTTAATAACAGCTGTAAAACTGAATAATCCCTTGTAAATACTCTATTGTATAATTATCACAGCTACCAAAGCTGCCAGAGTTACGTCCCTGGATTATCCAATATGTGACCGACATATAGAAAGACTATATATTCCAGTGTTTAATTAGATTAAGAGCTTTTGTTTTGTAGTTGTTACCATACCTGGACGTTCTCAAAAATAAATTTTGCTACGAAAATAAAATTTTTTAAAAATCCGTTTCGGTTTTGACTTTCGTAACTGGCGCAGTCATTCGGATTTTTCGAAGTTGTACAAGTGTTCGTGTTAGCCTTGCCGAATTCGCGTACAATTTTTCTTTTTAAAGATTAACGGAAAAGATCCAGCTTTCGGGTACGGTAACAGCCAAACGTCCAGGGTGAGGAACAAGCATCGTCCACAACCTATTGGAGAAGCCAAGACCAGGGAGAAGGAACAAGCATCGTCCAGAATCCTATTGGTGCAGACGGAGGAACAAACATAGTCTGAAGTCTATAGAAAATGAAAATATTCATGTAAGTGTTTCCTATTTTACCAATATCCATATTTTTACCTATATATTATATATTTTTTGATTCACGGTGGAGGATATTTTAGATAATTTAGTAAACTTAACATTTAACGAAATGACTCAACCTAATTTTCAATTAATTAAATATCAAGCTGATAATATTCCTAATTTTGATGGCAATCCGAAACAATTAAATAGATTTATTAAATCATGTGAAAATTTCTTAAATAATCATAGTAATAGAGATGCAAATAATCCTATAAATGTTTGTCCTATTTGATACTGTTTTAAGTAAATTAACTGACAGAGCAGCAGACCTTATTGCATCAAGAACAGAACTTGATTCTTGGGCAAAAGTTAAAGATTCTCTTATAGTAACATTTTCTGATCAGAGATCAATTGATTGTTTAGTACAAGATATAATTTCAATGAAACCAGAAAGAAATGAAAATGCACAAAATTTTGGTTTAAGAATCCAGATGCTAGAAGCATTCTTTGTTCAAAAATTAATATGTCTAATGACCAATTAAATGTAAAAATATTAAAAATTCAACAATATGAAGATCTTTGTCTTAAAACTTTTATAAATGGCCTTAATTATCACATGCAGTTAGTAGTCAGATTAAAGAAATCCTGATTCCATAGAGCAAGCAATGGCTTTCGCTAAAGAAGAAGAAAATTTTATTTCTTTCAAAAATCGAAGTAATAATACGAGACCCTCAAATTTTAATAATTCTCGATCCTATAATAATTCTAATAGAAATTCAAATATTAATTCCCAACACTCTTCATTTCCAAATAGAAATTTTTCTCGAAATCAGAATTTTTCTAATTATAATAATTTTCAAAATCGACATTCTTCCCAAAGTTCTAGTCAATACAGAAATAATAATTTTTTCCGAAATCCAAATAATAATTTTCAAAATCGTCCAAGTTTTTCGAACAATGGTTTTAATAATAATAATAGTAACCAATTTCCAAGACAATTTCCAAATATACCTAGATATCAGCCATCTATTCCTACCCAAAGTCAAAGCAGAAATTCAATGCGACCTGAGCCAATGGATACAAGTTCCAATAACTTTAGTTTACGAAGTAACTTTAGAAATGATAGACGTTCTCCAAATAATTTATTTCACCATAAAATAACGAGTAATAATGTAAGAGAAGGACATACTAATAATTTAGGATATAATGAAAGAATTTATGATAATTATGATGTAAGATATAATAAAAATAGGAAAAGAAGATATATTGATAATAGAAGAATATATAATAATAATGAAAGAAGGTATAACGGAATAAAAGAAGAATGTATAGAAGATATAATAACAATAAAAGAAGAATATATACAAGATATAATGGAAGAAAAAGGTATAATGATGAAACATTTCCAGTTCACACTTCAAGAAACTCAGACTTAATCATAACGACGACGAAGAATACCAAGCCATAAGTAAATTGTGTTATGAACATACCGATATTTTTTATATAGACGGAACGCCCCTTAGTTTTACGAATGAAATAAAGCATAAAATAGATTTAGTTAATGATACTCCGGTTTACACAAGGAATTATAGATATCCAGAAGTTTATAAAAAAGAAGTTAGTAGACAAATAAATGATATGTTAAAAAATGGAATAATACAAGACTCAAATTCGCCTTTTAATTCACCCATCTGGGTAATAGAGAAGAAAATGGATGCAAGTAACCAAAAGAAATATAGAATAGTAATAGATTATCGCAAATTAAATGAAAATACCATAGAAAATAAATTTCCCTTGCCATTAATAGATAACATTCTAGATGGTCTAGGAAGAGCTCAATATTTTACTACGTTAGATTTAGCAAATGGTTTCCATCAGATAGAAATGGAACCAGCCGATGTACCAAAAACAGCATTTCCACGGAGACAGGACATTATGAATTTTTACGTATGCCGTTTGGATTGAAAAATGCCCCAGCTACTTTTCAAAAAGTTATGAATAATGTATTAAGAGGATACCAGAATGAAATTTGCTATATATACTTAGATGATATAATTGTTTTTTCCTCATCATTGCAAGAACATGTTACAAGACTGAAATCAATTTTTGAAAGACTAAGAAAATCTAATTTAAAAATACAACTAGATAAATCAGAATTTTTACGAACAGAAGTGGCATATTTAGGTCATGTTATAACAAAAGACGGAGTACGACCAAATCCAGATAAAATAAATGCAGTCAAAAACTTTCCTATTCCTACTACACAAAAAGAAATAAAGTCATTTTTAGGATTAGCGGGATATTACAGAAGATTTATCCAAGATTTCGCTAAAATAGCTAAACCATTAACAATGTGTCTAAAGAAACATGCAAAAGTAATACATACTCCAGAATTTAAGAAATCTTTTAATCATCTTAAAGAACTTTTAATTAATGCCCCTATTTTAAAATATCCAGATTTTTCAAAACCATTTATATTAACCACAGACGCTTCAAATATAGCCTTAGGTGCAATTTTATCACAAGGAAAAGTACCAAATGATTTACCCGTAGCGTATGCCTCAAGAACTCTTAATCAAACAGAACAAAAATATTCTACGATAGAAAAAGAACTTTTAGCAATTGTATGGGCTTGTAAAACATTTAGACCTTATTTATACGGCAGATCTTTTGAAATTTTATGCGACCATAGACCTCTTATATGGTTATTTAATTTAAAGGAACCCAACTCCAAATTATTAAGATGGAGATTAAAATTAGAAGAATTTAACTATACTATAAAATATAAACCCGATAAAACGAATATTGCCGATTCTTTAAGTCGAATAAATATTAATGCAATTGAAACAGAATCAAATATAAATAATCCCGGTGACATAGATTTTGATATCGACCAATTTTTAGCTGAATTTAACCCAGACATAGTTGATGAAAATGTAATAAATGAAACTTTGCAAATTCTTGATAACAATGAGGTTACAGAAAACCCACTAGTAAATAAAATTATATCAACAGGAAATGAGAACAATGAAAACGTTGAGATAGATAACTCAGACACAGACACAGCTCATAGTGCTGAATCTTCAAATGAAAATAGGTTCTCATTGTTAGATGAAATAATAAACAATAAAGCCTATCAACTTATCGTTAAAAGAGCGCCTTTTGCAAATTATTTAAAACGCGAATGCGAGAATTTTGAAGGACATAAAATAATAAAAGCTACTATTTCAGCAGACGAAGAAAGTGTAACCCAATTCCTAAAAGAAAATGCGTGCAAAAATACTTTATACATTTATTTCTTATCTCAAGAATTACGACCAATATTTCAGAATGTATGGCGTAAATATTTTACAAAATTAAAATTAATTGAATGTACAAAATTAGTTAACAATGTATTACCAGAAGAAAGAAATCAACTAATAAAATATAAGCACAACGGAAAAACAAATCATCGAGGAATTTCAGAGACTCTTAGAGCTTTAAAACTAAATTACTACTGGAAATCAATGAAAAAGGACATAGAAAAATATATAAATGAATGTGAAATATGCCAGAGATCCAAATATAATAGAAATCCACATAAAGAACCTTTAATATTAACCCACACACCCTCCAAGCCTTTTGAGATAATACATATAGATACTTATAAAGTTGGCAATCAAAGATTTTTAACAATTATAGATAAATTTTCAAAATATGGCCAAGCATTACCATATTTTGGCACAGCTATATCAGCATGTCAACAATTAGTACATTTCTTTTCATTTTTCGGAATACCGAAGCAAATTGTTGCAGACAGTGGTGGAGAATTC